TTGGCGTTATCTCGTTTAGTAGGCTTAGTAGGCTAGAGCAAAACGTAGAAATTACTAAGGGTCCGATTTGCGCTAGACTATAATGGGCGAGAATTGGTGTCTGATTCATGTTGCATACGCGTATTTTTGGATCAGGGTGCGTGATTACCCAATTAGGATGTATCGGGGGTCAGATTCACGTAGCATCATATACTAGGCCTGGTGCTCCTTCATCTTGGCGTACATGCTCGAGGGATTTCATCCTATAGTAGCGCTAGAAGGTGCCCCTTTGCTGCATGTGTGCCCCTAACTGTAAGGGACTTGTTCTGGCTTTCTCTATTATATATGAAGCAAAATGTGCGCCCAAGACATTGCAATCGGTATACCACAATCCAGTACTCCGTACGTCTTTTAATCTACTTTCCATACATGATGGCTGCTGCGACTTCGAGACTACCTACCCACGGCCCGAACCAGGAGTACCGTTGCAACAAGCATAAAACTCCTCGCTATTACCAACTTGAGTGGAAACACTTGACGATGCCAGTGGAGAATGTGAAGACTGCCATAACCAGTGGTCTCCAGTATGACCTCTATGGTGTTGTTGCACATGAGCACATCCTCTCACTGGAAGATGCAGTGCTTCTCCCATACAACGGTCTCTGTTGGGACAAATGCTCAAAGACATACTTCGAACGTTCACTCTGTATTCTCGTGGATGCTGGAGTGATAAACAATTGCACTACTTCTTGCCAAAAAATCAATCTATCTATACAGTTGGGTGGCCATCGCCCTGACGTAGATAGCTTCCGCGCGAGTGGACTCCAATTCTACGATGAAGACGGTGTTGCACTTGAAGACAAGGAAACAGTGTTCGATCGTGTCTATCGAATGCAGGAACAGCTAGAAACCTGGAATGGAGAAATGTTTGGAGAACCGGTGGTTAAGTGAGAATAACTAGTAACGTGCGGGATCAGTAAGTGGGCCGGATCAGTTAGTGGGCCACCCCACCAAACTTGACCTAACGTTCTGTGTAATTGAGCCACAATAACGCAATAAAATAAGATAAAATTAAGAGAAATTATTAATTATCTAGCTCTACACGAAGTGCGAGTATGTCCTTGGATATGGCACTTCGTACACGTTGGCGGCGCGCGCGGACGTCGCTGACTACCCTCACCCTGCCCACCCTCTACGACCACCCTTTCTGCCTCTGTAGCAAGCTGCTAAGCCTGCGAGACCTGGAGTACTCTACCAGAAGCAATATATTGACGCTGCTAATCCTGCTTCTGTCGCTGGCGCTAATTCTCTTCACGTAGCCTCTTATTCTCCTCTGCGAGTATCGTCGCTAATTGCATCGCAAGCTGAGCGCTTTTAGCAAGCTGGCGTATCGCGATACTTGTTGGACTCTCTAGCTGCCGGCGTAGTCTCTCTTGGAGATAGCGTACTTGCTGTTGAAGCTCCGCTACTATATGTGGTGTTTCTGTCTGTACTACTGCCTGCGCTACTGCCTGCGCTGTAATATTGTTGTCAATAGCTGTCTGTGGTAGAGACGGCGTCCGGACGACAGTTAGCGACGATAGGACGCGATCTAGATAAAGAGGGACAAGCCCTGTTGCCTGAAAGCCTGCTTAGATATTCTGCTGCGTGAATACAGTCGGCCAGATCCGTGTATAGGCTATAAGAAAGTCTGTTTTGTCAACATAGTAGACGCCATGGCGGGCGAGCTCCTCGACCTCGCGTCCGTACGCGCGCTTGAGAGGGGAGTAGCAGCTCATATCTAGAGGCTGGAGGAGGTGCGACGTGTGAGGCGGCATACAGAGAGTGATAATCTTGTTCTCTGTACAGAACTAGTCGAACTCAGGCGTGGCGTGGCTACTATAGCCGTCTAGGATAAGAAGGCGATAGACTCCAGCCATACGAGCTACTGTATGCTGATTAAAATGCTTCACCCACTCTACGCCAAGCTAATCATTCGTCTAGCCGTTGTCTGAGATGCCGATAGTCCAGTCTAGTGGGAGGTTGCGATACCAGTTGCTCTAGTGGACCTTACCAGACAGGATCACGAAGGGTGGAAGAGACCAGCCAGACGCGCTAATACACTCGATTACTGTCACCTACTCGCGATTATCTAGCTGTACTACGGCTGCCCTGCCAACTCTATCAGCGCTAGTCACGACTTTTAACGTGGCAGCGACGCCCATCGCGAACCTAGTCTCGTCGAAGTTGTAGATATCCTAGTCAAGGACGCCGTACGTCTGTCGCGTCTCCTCTACTAGCTTAAACCACGCTACGATTATAGCAGAATCTTCGTAGGAGGCGCGCTGGCTATTAAATCTTCTAGTCCACTTTGTCTGAAGTTTAGGCTAGCTCTAGATAAAGCGCGATACCCATTTCTTGCCTACAGGTGGTGGAGGTGGATCTTGGCCACGCGCGGCGAGTAACGCGTCTGCCATTCGTCGTACGTTAATAATATAGGGTGGAAAACCACGTCAGTTAAGCTCTAGAATCCACTGTACAAGAGACTGCTCCTTAATAGGCGATAGCTTGCGGTTAACAGAGGCTGTCTCTAATCGCGCCTAGATACCATGAAGACGTCGTTAGAGCGTCGACTTTAGCACGTCGTACGCTGCTGCGAGTGCGCGCACAGATTATTTTAGATTATTACGATAAGATACTATAGCGAGACTTATTCTACCTTTATAAGAAGTCTGTATAGGGCGTTGTTGTCGCGGCATTATAATGGTTGTGTAGAGCGTTGCGTCAAGTTTGGTGGGGTGGCCCACTAACTGATCCGGCCCACTTACTGATCCAACACGTTACCTGTGTCTATGCTAATCATTATATCTGCAAGCTAAAGCGTAGCAGGTATGACTACGGCTTATCCCTACCAGGCAGAGACAGTATGACGTTCATGTAGTGGAGGGTGAAGTTAGGCGAAATTATGACGGAGGTGCAAAGCGCATCAAGAGTGCAGTGCGGCCAAATGTTTTGTACGGTCGTATGAACATCAGGGAAGGAAAGCTCAGTAATGGTAGAGATGAATGCAGAATCTTGACATTATTGCATTTCATCCCACATTTCCTTGAAAACGAACGCAATCACTCTATCGTGGCGCTCTCAAGTGATAGCTTTGTTGTTTCTTGACTTGATCTCTAGATGGCGGCGACGGAAGGATTGAGGCCTGTTCTCATACGGGCCGATTCGATACTCGTCAGCGGTTGATACAGAACGCGAGGGAAGGTACACATCTATGTGATACGGATTGGGGATTCGCTGGCACTCATTTGTAACAGGAAATCAACAAGTGCTTTCCCTTCAGCGGGAGTCAGGTACACTCTCTTGCACTTGCAGCTTCCGGTTTCTGTAAGCAGGCGACCTTTGATCCCACGCTAAGCCTCTGTCGCTCAGTAGTGATCTTGCCCAAATAGTACTAGTTCTTGTCAGCAATGTCATGGGTTGATCTTCTTCCAGATGCGCCCAGACCAATCAATGCATGATATTAACATTGTTTAACCTCTCTTTGGACAAGCGTATACCAGGCGGGTCTATATCCCGCGTGGGATGACAACTGGACCATGTGCGCAAAGCGGAAGCTGCAAGTGCATGAGAGTGTAAGCAAACACCGAGGATGTAGCTTGAAACGCTGCGCCATAATCCTTCCAACTACGCCACAGTCATGTGTGATATGCACAGTAATCAGTATGCCTTGGCACTACTAAGAATATAGGAGAAAGCAAGTATTACGCGTACGCGTATGGATACGCACGTGCACGTAAAATAGAGTCAAGGGGCTACATAGATGCTAGATTAGGAAAAGTTACAAGGAGTAGTGAGATGAATTTACAGGGGTAAAACGCGCTATCCGACCATTGTTCCCAAGAGACCATAATTCCGTTTGGCATAACGTGTGGAATCACGCTTGGGGAGCTACAAAGAAGGAAAAGACGCATAAATGTACGCCTTCGAGCGACACGTGCAAAGACGAGCTAGAAGGAACACAGTCTCCAAAGAAGTCATCTAAAAAGGACAAGAGATGGATGCCTTTGTCGATATAACACTTCGGTACCGAAATGATAACAGTTTAGTTGACTGGTTAAGTAATTGCTTAGTTAGGTCTTCATGCCCAGCCTAGCTCTTTACTCTTTGCGTCCAAGATTCCCAACGCTAAACCGTTGAACTGCATCAGCAATGCCCTGACCTCGGGTTTCCGGATTAACTGCATGTTCGTGGCAACAGCTTGGCTCACGCAACACCTAAGGCCGTTGTCTTTTCCGGGTGTGGTCGAGAAAGCGTGACGAGCCGCGATAGGGAAAGCTGGGGTATCCCAGAAATGCTTGCAGCCTCTGCTGAATTTCTCCTTACTTAGCTCCTTCAGACCTACAACCTCGTACTTGTCGGCCAGTTCGTACATTTTGGCGTGCGTTAGAAGTTGTGACGAAGGTCCAATGGGGTTTGGTAAAACGCAAGTCTGGCAAGAAAATTCTCTGCATCTGTACCTACAGTCAATACTGCACCGATGGTGTGGACAGAGTTGATCATTGCTGCAGTCATAGATGCTAGGGCCGTCAAAACCACGAAATTCTATCATGTGACAGGTATGAGGAAAAGAGAGGCTTTTTGACGCTGTATCCCAATGCTTAACCGGTGTGACAACAGCGAGCGTCGTGGTCTGCGGCGTGGTGGGAGGTAGGACTGGATCGTATTCGCCCTCGTACAAATATTGAATAAGAAGTTTTACTGTTTTGGGGTCGTCTTCAGGCAGGTCAATTTGATCAGTTTGCGCTTCCTTGGTCATATCAGTTGAGCTATCTCTACAACCAGCATCTGGAGGTCTGCACCTGTCCACCGAATTTGATCGCACGCGCGAAGAAGCCAGCTCGACCACAAACAATGACTTTATGGACTCTGTACGTATCACGTCCGCACTTAATACTGAGATCAGAGTAGGCACCGGATGCCAAGAAACTGCATGGTGGTGAGTAAAAGCGGGGGGTGATAAAAGCGATAGAGCATAAAGAGAGAGGGCACCTTTTCAATGAATCCAGCACCTGCTGTTGCGAGGTAGATGCCATAGTATTCATAGAGGACAAACAACAGGAGAACTGGAAGAAGAAGACTACCGTTTACACTTCAACAGTCAGTCACGCGATTCGGCAAGCGTAGCCAATGTTGAAATGCACGCGCAAGAACACTCACAGGCCTGCGGTTGCAGCATTTGGCTTTTTGTGAGGCTAGATGTTAGCACAAGCACGGCCCAGTTTGAAGCAAGCGAGCAAACCAGCTATCGAGAAAACGGAATGAGGGTTGAGTAGATATGGCCATGTAGCTCTGGAGTTGCGCTGCGAGTTGCGCTTAGGGCTTAGCTAATCCTAAGCGCAACCCTAGGTCAGCACGGGCCACATCTACGAACACCAACCCTTCAGCATACGCTATTGAATAACTTGCGCCACCTCTATCGCAGTACGACACGAAGCAGCTTGTTCGATACGCATAACCTTTTTGCACCACTGGCACAAGTTGCACGAATTTCTAACATAATTCTGGCTCTTATCAAGCGCTCCTATGACTCCGCAGAGCCATAACGCTAAGCCTAATAAGGTTTAGTTTTGGAATGGGGGAGCATCCCAGAACCGAATACCTAAGTAGTGTGAAGCTCTTGATATTGAGGTCTTTGGACTTGATTGTCGCGGATGAGAGATAGGGTACTGTCAACAGATAACTCTTATATTTGCACTTGGAGTCTTCACATATCGAGCTACAACGGCTCAACACCTATAGTGTAATTATATGAAGGAGTGTGGCTTGCTCCATACTGCGAACTCCGTAACTGGCCAGTTTGCTAATTGTTTATTACTGTCATTAGCGATTGCGGTTTCACCCTTACGCGCAGCTGCGCAGCATACTTGAGCAGCCCCACCTTCCGCACATAGCTTAGCGCGAGCAATCAGCTGAACATGACTGGTCAATCTTCAGTCTTATGATGACGAGACTTTTAGAATGCTGCCTGCAGGGGTGAAGCCGCAATCGCTAATCACTGTAGTGACGTGATTGCGGCACGGTGGAAGGATTGCGGTACAATTAATCGGAGGAATCTTCTGAACTGCTTACCGTCTGTGGGCGTAAGCATCTTGAACGTAAGCATATGCCTAAGCGGTTAGCTGTTATCAGCATATCACGCATACCAAGCATACAAGGAACGACATATGTAGATTCAGTAACGAGGGGCCGGATGTACACTCTCATGCACTTGCAGCTTCCGCTTTGCGCACGCGGCTCAATTGTCATCCCACGCAGGACACGGACCCGCCTGGTGTACGCTTGTCCAAAGATAGTTAAAGCATGTAAATGTGATGCGTTGATTGGTCTGAGAATTTGGAAGACGACGCATCGCTGACAGAAACTAATACTATTTGGGTAAGATTACCACTAAGCGACAGAGGCTTAGCGTGGGATCAGAGGTCGCCTGCTTACAGAAACCGGAAGCTGCAACTGCATGAGAGTGTATAGTGAAGAGATGGCTAACTAGTTACTTATGTACAGCAATACCGTCTTTCAGACGCCGTAACAATCGATCAAGTGGGTCCTAGTAGGTTCAGAATTGAATTGGTTGGTTACCTCTTTAGGCCTCGCAATTCTACATATAAGTTTACCTGCTACCTAGATACGCAAGCGGGTCTTTGAAAGAGCCCGGATTGAATTGCTTGTTGCGGACTGTGCTTTTGTTAACGATGATCTCGCGAGCAACGTTGAAGAATAGTTAGTTTGCCTTGCACCCCGTGCACTATCACGATCGTTTGCGCTTTCTCCAGTTTCAACAAGCGAGGGTAATAGGCCTTATAAATAGACATATTCCGCTGCGTTTTCAAGACATTCGTGCATAGAACACATATAATTACTACGAGTCTATCTCCACGTCAAACCTAATTCCGCTAAGCACTGTGTGTTTTGGCATACCCGCTGATGCGATTAACGTTGCGTAGCAACACGGGTTAGTAACAAGGCAGTACATATTGTATATGGCGCTATGCCTTATGAAGCTGAGGTGTGACGTTCACCTAGAAGCTTCCATGTGTAAATGAAATGATGGCAATTCTTAGAACACATCGCCCACTTCTGGTGCTAACTCAAGTCGCTTCCGAACACCCACAAGGTTGCTCTCCAGGTCGCCAATCTTGATAGAACGGATTCGGCCAGTCTAGCACTGGCCCAGCTCCTCTCCAGGAGCATCAAGGACTTGGGCTGCTCGCTTGGGATCTTTATCATCATAGCCCAGTTGATTGACGTACGAGTCAAATAGTAGACAATGCATGGCCGATGAATTGTCTTCAGTCTGAAAATTTCGGTACGGTGGCCTTCACTTTGTTCTTCTTCTTCTTGACATCCTTTTTGGAGGTGGGCGATATCAGGTCCTGTGGATTATTAAGTGGAGAAGTCTGATTAGAGTAGGTCCAATCATCCCCTACTGATGGGGCTTCCTTTTGGGCCGTCAGAGGTTCCTCTCGAGATGTAATTAATCCCCTCTGATCAGCCTCGTTTGCCGGTTCCGTTGCGTCATCTTTCCACTCTAGTTCTGCGTCACCTTGTGAGTTGGAACGATATCTGAAATTGCCTAGCCATACCTTTCATCAATGCCTCGTCAAAATATGAAAGCTGTCAATTTCTCTTTCCTCTTCGTCCAGGTCATCGTAAAAATTTCGTACCTTGTGGAACTGACGAAATTTCTCGCGCATTCTGGAGAGCTCTCAGTCCGTCTTCCAGGACCTTGAGCTTCTCGCTGCAGAGCGTTCTCTCTGTTGAGGACTCCTCACTCTCTGATGCCAGAGACGCAACTGTCGCATCGTCAATGTCGATAATATCGGCCGGCGAGAATAATGAGGGAAGTTCCTGGACCAGACGCGCTTCGACCGCAAGCACACTGAAATCATCGATGATTTTCTTCATGGCCACCTGTTGCGATTAGACTTTTTCATTATGATCACGCCTATTACACTTACTTTGTAGAAGGCTTCCATGAAATCTGTGGCAGTGGAGCTGGCATAGCTGGTCATATCTGCTTCTGTCTTTGAGACTAGCGTATCGATCAGTACGTTCACATTGACTGGTATATTGACGACGCCGACAGCGGTGTAGTCTCCGCCAAGGACTCTTTCCAAAGATTTCTTGACCTCTTGTGCTCGTCTTTTGCTTTGCGCTTTCTGAACATTGTCGGTGAGGTAGTGATTGTATGTGATTGGGTGGCCGCTTTCATGGGGTTTTAGAAGTTCTGATACCTTGCTGCGAAGCTCTGCCGTCAGCTTTTCTAATCGAATGTAGATGAACCGTCTTGATAGACCAGCATGTGTGGATTCATCACACACGTGTGCTAAGGCTTTGCGAGCCAGAGAATAGACAGTACGAAGGATAATCTCCAAATACTGATCTACTAATGCCGCCCACGGCCTGCGCTGTTCATGGAAGAGTTGTCCGACGATGAGTGGATCGAACGTTCCTGGTAGTTCGCGGCCTCTGCTTCGCTCTAGAAGCTTGGTGACTTTTACGACGTAATCTGAGCGAGATATGTGATAAGGTAGCTTAGAGGGCCCTTCATCGACGATGGTGTACGTGTGGCCCTTCTTGCGCATATCTGCCGCAAAGTCTGTTAATGTGTTTTGCAGTACAGCTCGCAGACGCTTTTGATAGCCCTCCGTAGTAGAGGCGTCACCAAAGAAAGGGTCCGAGTATTGTCCGTCGATGGCAGCCCTGACAAGGGTACTAAAGGACTGACTGACTTGCAGTAGATACCGTCGCTGTTCTTGCGCGGTAGCCCTAGATGCGCCTAGTGTGTCCAGTCTCTCTGTGCATTCTCGAATTCCGTTTTTGATCTGGGTTAGCACGTCAGGCAGCTGCGCTACTATGTGGTCTTTGAGGATCTTGCTGAGCCTTGGCTTTAAGGTATGGACTCCAACCTGGCTAGCCGACAGCGATCTCCATATTCCAGTATTGAAGAACACGGCTTCGACTTTGTCGCGCTCCTCCATAGATGCATTCCTGGAGGTATAATCTCTGTTACGAAGTACATGCCAACCCAGTCGGAACTTAACATCTTTGTTCTGTGCCAATTCCAAGTAAAAACGCTCACTATCAGATCCTTCATCCAGCGTGTCTGGCTTCGTGATCAGTCCCAGTGTGCGCTCCCCCCTTGGATCGATTTGGCGTGAATGCTTTGTGATTGACTTGTTGTTGAAGTCGTTCTTAGCCGATATGACAGCAAGTATGATGCTGCGTGGGTTCTTCATATACGACAGTACAAGGGACTTGACGGTCTCGCTATCTGCGTCCGATTGGGAGCGACTTCCGGCTTGAAACAAGCCCGGTAAATCGACGAGGGTAAGGTGCGGTTGATCGGGGCCTGACAACTCCAGACGAAGGATATCAGAGCTGAAGACTCTGCTGCTCTCGTTGATTCCCATCGCACCTTTTGCGGATTCAATAACTTCCTCAAGCTGTAAGTCCTCTGCTGAGACCGAGACATGGAAGTTCCGCAACTTTTCCAGATCATCCTCTGAGCGGTCCTTCTCCTGAGAACCGGGAACGATGCCAATCTTGATGGGAGCATCTGGGCCTCTTCGGAGTATCAACTCGGTTGCAAATCTCGTACATAGATTGTCTTTGCTTGGGAACCTCACACCCGAAACTGCTTCGAGGACCGAGCTTTTGCCAGAAGATTGCTCGCCACATACGACGATCTCGGGGAGGTCGATGTATCGATTGATCCCATGTGATCGAAGCTTATCGATAATATCTAAAAGATTTTTTGTTTCGATAGATTGTAGGGACATGTTGTGCTATGAGGGAATTTTGACGAGTTGTATTCCCAAAACAAGGAAAGAATCACTGTTTGGCGTGGGATAGAACGATAGTCAAACTAAAGTGCGATGGCGCAGGGGAAAAGCGAAGATAAAGCAACACGACGCATCCTGCCACTATTATCACAATCTCTTCCATTCGAGGACGAGCATGTGCGATTTACCCAGTATCATGGGTCGGCTTACCGCCAGTGCCCTTGCAATGTTCGAATGATGACTGGCCACGTCTCACATGATCGATGCAGAGGTCTGCCACGAAACACTGGGTGACGAGCACAAAGTCGCCAGCGACGGCCAGGTTTACAACGGGCCGGCCCATTGGTCCCTGGCGAAATCCAAGCAGCCGTGTCGCAAACGATAACCCCGCAGTCAGCCAACGACGGAGTGGAGTCGCTCGCGGCCCCAGACGTTTGCGAACCCACATTGGTAGATGGGGAGATATGCTGACCATATTGATGCAGCAATGTGGCCAACAAGACCCTGTCTATTGCAGCACAGCTATCGGGCAGTATCATGATCGCGTTATATGACATCGGAGCGCTGTGATCAGTACTGAGTTGATATGCAGCGTGACCCCGCACCACGTGTATTGTGACATGACGATAACATCAGGTTGCACTTAAGTCAACTTTCAGGTCAATTCCCAATTCCTCCTTTCCAAGTCTAATTACAATCATTAGCGACTGCGGCTCCACCTCTGTGTGCGGCATTCCACAAAATCAGTCATCATTAGATCGACGACTAACCAATAACATCTGTTACTCCGCAGCAGACATCTAGCGCTAAGCCATATAATCAGTACTTGCGTATCACTTGAAGCCGAGATTGGCTAGCCCGAAATAGCCCCGCTTTGCTGACGTGCAATCAAAACCGGGTAACTTACTATTTGTCATTAGTCAACGTTGCTTTGCTTTGAGCTGTCAGCATTCGAAATCTTTCTACGACTATCACGTGCAAGCTATGTCTGGAGAGGGCAGAGATTGCTGCCTAGTGGGTCTAAGCGAGTTTTTTCTTCACCACCGACACCGACATTGAATATTTTTACCTTGCGCTACCGTGCAGGCGCCACACACTACAACAAATGAAGCTGTGTCCTCTGAAGTTCTCACACAAACCCCACTAATTACTCCGTACCATACCGTCAGCCCAGTCAACAGCGGCAGATCTACCGTGAGAGACGCGCTCATTACAGCCCCATTCAAGCAATCGCCTCTGTTCAGAGTACAATCAGAATGAGCAGACCAAGAAAGTATTGAAATGAATGACAACTCTCTTGTTCTCGCTCCTGAGGGCGACGTGATATTAGTCGTGGGTGAGAAACGATTTCGCATACATGCGGACTCCCTCTTCCTTAAGCGGCATTCAACGGTCTTTGCAGCTCTATTCGGCCCAAACTTTCGCGAAGGTCAAGATTTGAATACCTCATCTCCAAAGGAGATTCCTCTGCCGGATGATGATCCGTATGCCATGACGGTGATCTGTGCAACAATGTACCACAACTTTGGTCACATTCCGCGGAACCCCACAACAGACCAAGTTTTTAGTATAATCAGACACGCGGATAAATACGATTGTTACGATGTCCTCACCCTACCGTCCCAGGTCTATGGCTGGCTCAAATCCGATCATTTGACTCTTGGTAAAGACCTAGCAAATATTCTCGCTGTGTCGTATTTGGTTAGAGATCAGGAAGCGTTTAAAAATGCGTCGAAAGCCTTAGTCTGGAAGTACGATGGATCATTCACAGATCTGGCTAATAATGTGATCTGTGATGTTCTGCCCTGGAAGACATTCTGTGAGTAGACACATAAGTAGTTAATTAACTTGTCATACGCTAACTAGTAATGAACGTAGGCAGATTGGAGGAACTTCGGACCCGTATACAAATACTCGCAATTAGTATCGTATTAAACATATCAGCGTTTAGATCTAGTGGCTTTGGTGGCTTTGGCGGCCTTGAAGTCAATCATTCTGGATGCTCCCAAATCGCAGAAAGGATTAAACAAGATTTCGGTAATGATCTGTTAGTAGAAGTGCGCCAGAAACAAGATCAGAAATATCGCGGGGGCTCGTATATAAAACCGCCGCATCCGCCAGCAACTCAGCAGTCAGCAACTGGGCCTTTGCTTAAGAAATTACAGGAACTAGCGGAATCCTGTAAGAAATGCAAAGAGAATGTGGAAACTTCCCAGCTCAACACATTTTGCCTAAGTTTGGCAGGCAATGACCTCAGACAGGTTGCTATGTTACCTGAATGGTACTGGGGCTCGAAGTTAACGTATTGAGGAGCACGGAGAATGAGAGTCTGTACAGCCTCCATACTAGTGGACTAAACTATCGATACGATCGTACATGGCCACTAGAAATCTGTAGAACGGGAGGATAGGAGGATGGGAGACAATGAGGGCATATTAAAGCCACGAATAAAACAATTTCTGAAAATTATTATAGTTAGGAGATAGGTTAAAGAATAGGCCAAGTAATCTTCGGCCGAGGTAAAATCCTAAGCGACACGCAAGCTAACCGAATTTCCCTCATATAGACTTTCTAGCTCGATTCTAACAACAACCCTTCCTACTGTCTTAACCCGTCGCCATCATGTCCGCCGAGGCACCCACAGCGCCAGGATACGACCGCGATTCCATCATCGCCTTGTTCCATTGTCGCATCCGCTGCAAGGAGATCCGTATGGAATATGGTGGTTGTTGGATACGCACAATGGTGAGTCTTCAATGGAATACTAAGCTAGATTTTTATTATCTCATCTCTAACTCCTTTTGTCATAGGTGAACTCACTGCGTATGACGGATTTATGAATAGACCCGATGAAGAGGTACCAGAAAATGAACAGTGGCGTAGTACAAGGCCAGTACCTGCCACCACGTATCTTAACGGGTTATATGAAGATCTTAAATCACTCAACTTGTTACCTATGCCACTCAATCCTTATCTCGGTGTTTGGGAAATCTGGCCAGCGCATGGTCACACTAATGGATTTCAGAGCTGCGCAGATGTAAGTTAATACAGCGCTCTAATCTCAAGTTTGCTAAAACAAATGTTTCTAACACATACAATATAGGAAGCCAGAGAAGCTTACCTCCAATGTCATTGGCCAGACTTGTAGAGATTTCGGCGCGCAAAATGTCGGAAGCTTCTAGGAGAGGTGATGGAAAGAAGGAAGGCATGGGAGAGTGAGGAATATGACAAGAGAAATCGTACACGTGTAGATTGTGCGGATGCTTTGGGGAATGCAAATCCTTCCCTAGAATCTCAGCTATCAAGTGCTATACAGACAGGTATGATCGATAATTTCGAGTGTTCGCACGAAATTTCTAATCATTTCGTTCTAGCTTTGGGTTCAGGCGTTTCTGATAACGGCGCTGTCAAGTTAGCTACTCAATAAGGTCGGTTACTATGCACTGGATCGTATGAATCTACCGTAATCCAATGGGCATGGTTTATCCTAACTCTATTATTCGAACAAATAGAGTCCCTTTCATTGTTCTGCCTAAGAAGTCTAATCTAGATACACGGACCTGTGAGTCCCTTTCTTTGAAACTTTTAAGTCTCTTTCTTTACTTATAACACACCGCTCAATGGAAGACAGTAGATGAATTTATCTAGTTCATGATCATGACAGACCACGTGCAGTAAGTATATGATGACACTGCATCTGTACATGTACTACAAACTTGATGTACCAAAATGGGGTCCTTGGCATCGGTAGTTGAAACAGGACCCCACCTTCTGCAGGTTGTGAACCTAAATTTGACATTTCCAGCGGCCCGATTCACTGCACCAGGGCAAAAACTCAATGGCAACAATCAAAAATGCGATGGATCTGTTCGAGGCCGATTTCCAGAAGGCGGGTTTTATGTTGACATCTATTACCACCATATCTGACGTTGCATAGGCTCTTTGTGAGAGCGTCATCGGCCAGGTTAGCGGAACTATGCGCACATTCCTAAAGATTGAGAACCTGTCGCCATATTACCGCTTGAAAGCTTGCATGGTTCTAAGCACGGCTGATGAGGAGAACGAACATGAAGAAAACTTGGCAGCAACGCGATATTGGCTTAAGAAGGCCACGGAAGCTTTAGAGGAAACGAAGCGCGTCTACGTACACGACCCTGATGATGCAAAGTTGTTGCAGACCATGGCAGACACGATCGAGGAGGAGAATGAAGCTCTCCAAATGCGGGAAAAGGCCTTCTATAGTGATGATGACAGCGATGAGGCTGGATACTAGAGCGGAATTAGGGCGTAGGCGCGCGAGACGTACTTCAAGCGCCTAGGCAATAATGACATTTGGCGCTTAACTCTTGTGCCGTGTTTCAACGGGAAGAGAGTCGATTTGTAGAGGTATATCGATCACGCAGCTCCGAACTATGCGACTATATTAATGACGTCATCATGTTTATTCTCGCCGAGCTGCTCGAAGGAAACGTGGGCTGCGCCGGAATCGTGCTCTACACTCGACAGGACGAGGATAGGAGCATACAATTGAGGGAGCAGTATGTGCTAGATGTGAGTAATTTAACCCTAGAAATTCTCAACCCTAATCACGTGAGTACTCTATCCTAACATAAGATGCCGACGCGGAACAGCCCTGATTCTTCTGCCAACGGCATAGCGCGATTGATCCTCCATAGGACGCGTCTTTGTGATCCGCAGGAACAGTAAGGCGCTAGAACATCCCCCCTGTAGAACGCGTTTTGGGCGCGTACACGACTTGAAACTATGTAGTGTAACTATGGTAGCCCTATCATAAAGACAAGCCTCTTATCGTCTACGTTTGAGATGCTTTCCTCTGTGAAATTTGACCTGTTGCTGCAATGTATGCTTCATGGAGAGTTCAGACGCCGGCGACGTTTCTAACCTCCTCCTTTCAGCTAGAAACCGGTTTCGAATCAGGGTAGGAATAAGAAGAGGATAGAGCTTACTCGCTTCTCTTAGATGTTTTAAGAGTTTTTATACTTTTTGACAGAATTCCTTAGACTCTTTATCGCTCTGGCATTCGAGCTCGCTGTTTGGTCTCTAGGTCTCTAGAAGCTATTAATTTAGTTAGTATAGGTCTAGTGTGCCTTTATACTAGAAATGCTTACTAGATTATATAAGATCGCTGTTACACGGGGTTACACAGGGTAGGGGTATACTGGCCTAGTCTCAGTCCAGGTTAGGGCGAGACAGTATAACTAAAGTATGCCGTGCGATTGTCTGGCGATTCGTAGTGGAAAAGAGTTATAGGAGTTTAACCAATGAAATGACAATCAGTTCTGACAGTTATTCCATGGAGAACAAACATTTGTTCCATTTTTGTGGCTCGCGCTCTTGGTTCGCAGGGGGCTTGTTCCCTAAGATTTGGAACAAACCTTTCTCCTCAATCCTCAATTATGGAAAACGGCTGCAACTTAAGTGAATAATACAAATCATTCGCGCGCAACTAGTGCACTACCTTTTATAGTACTACGATAGATGTAGCGCAAGATAAAGTCTGGTAGGGAGTTGGTGTTTGTGGGTGTGGCCTGTGCCCAGTGAGAGCAGCGCTTAGGGTCTAACCCTGTTAATCCTAACTTTGCAATTATTTTACAGAAACCAAGATCGCATCTCTTAGTAGAGAAAGACGACACAGAGGCGCCAGCTAGGGGTACTTAGAAACATCCCCCCTCCATTATCTCGTTTAGATACCTTGCGGGATAGCATGTGGTTATTGCGCTTACCCTACGCCCATGTTTTCTTTACGTACCGTGCTCCATGTCCGCAAAGCTGCCCTTTATCTTTTTCAGCAGTTATGGAAGACTTTCACTATAGGCAACTGTTTCTACTACGACGATCCTAGTATTACCAAGAGCTACATCAACGTTGTCTTCCATGCGAGAGCGCTTCCAACTGGAGAGAGGATGAATGTCTTCCCCGTAGCCGTACTCCATCCTCAAGCTTTCTCCACATTGTTCGACGAGATCTCTCGTAGTTTCCTGGTCATCTGAATACCGCCAAAGCCTTCATGCGTCGTATGCGCTCTATAGAGAGAGCCTCGGTCAGCAAGACGACCAAGGTCGCCCTCAACACTGTGATGCACCTGCCCAGAAATCTTCATGATTGAGCCACCCAGGGCATGCATAGCGATCTCCAACAACAGCGACGAAGGCACTTATGAGTGTTGGCGTGGTGAGGCCTATCTTATTGATTCCAACGATGCGGGTGACGGATACGAGATGTCCTTTGACAGGTCAATATTTGTTTCTTTCATCTATGTTGTCTTCTGCGTGGTGCTGATTAGTATTCTTGTGCGTTGCTGTGGAAGTCAGACCTTTCGTCTTCTGTCAGGATGGTGATCGGACACGGTTTATAGAGGCTGAGGATCCTTAACATTGCCGTGGAAAGACGATTTGTGATAGCAATACCCACAAGCCTGATTCACCCAATCTGTCCTCAGTGCGAGGAAAAATCTTGTCTGCTTCTTTGTGTGATCCTAGTGGCTAGATCTGGAGTTTCTCGCGTTTGGCCGATGGCTCATCGTTCGTCGATGCGCGTCGCGAGACTTTCTCGGGTCGAGTTTCTTCTTGATCCGTGAGGCGTTGAGCCACTTCCATTGCCGTTGGTCGAACTTCAGAATCCCATGCTAAAAGTTCTAGGACCAGATTCCAGAAATCCGGATAGTGCAGCTCAACAGTATTCGTTGCCATAGTCTTCTTGAACTTCTCATAGGTTGCAGCCTCTCCCAATTGTTTGTGAAACTGCTTGTTTAACAGGAAGTCGATAAGAGTAACGCCCAAGCTCCAAACATCCGATGGGAACGAGAATGGTTGAGTTGATTCTCCATTTTTCACTCTCATGACCTCTGGAGCAAGATAAGTCATTGTTCCTCGGTCATGACGCATGCTTGTCGGATCCGGCTCGCTACATCCAAAGTCGACGATTAGGGCATGTACCGGGCTGGTAGAGTGATAAACAATATTGTTGGGCTTGATGTCTCGGTGTAGTATATTAAGGCTGTGAACATGAGCGAGGCCGGACGCTACCTGGCGGATCGAGTCACGAAGAAAAGTAGCAGAATCAGGAAGAGACTTCCAGGATGTGAGCAAGCCCAGCGCTCCAGTGGTTGCTGGCGGCGACAGGATGAGGCCCACCGTTGGACCTTCATCCTGACGCCACATACGTGGATCGGCGGATGAGTCCCAATTGACGACCTTTTCAAGTTTGCAAACATTCTCCTAAAAAAAAGCCTCAGTCACGTTCTTTTTCTGCCTAAGGCAACTTACATCATTGAGGCGGCCCAGGATTTCAATCTCTTTTCGAAGGTCATTGAACTGCGCAGCAGTACATTTGACCATTTTGACGGCGACCGGCTTCCCGTTTGACTTGTCATATCCCAATGACACAGTGCTAGTTGTTCCGTGAAGATTGGCATCGAAGATGCTGTAGCCATGGTAGTCAATAGTGTGCCTGGATGGTGTTGGTGACAGAAGCATGACGGACTTATCAAGCCCAGTGCTAGCTCGCTTGAGGGCTTCTTGGAGTTCGCGTTGTTGTTGCTTCGGGTTTAAATCTGTGTATACGAGACGATAAGTCAGGTCGCCAAGTCCGATGCTGGTACCATGCTGTAGAGAAGCCTGATAATCTTGTTCATCCTGCTCCTCCCTTTTAATGTCGCGTTGGACGATTTTGCCGTCGACACTGACCTGCAATAGGAATAAGTCGATGGTACACTGATATATCAGCGAAAAGTTACCTCTCTACTATCAGATATAGCCAGTAATACACCAGTTTCGAGCAGGCGTCGCAGCCTGCAGTGGCGCGAATGAAGAGCATATTTATTGGTGAACGGAGCAAGAAGGAAGTCTACAAAGTTGCCTGGCATGTTTGTTCGGGAACTTCCCAAGACCCAGCCCAAACTTTCATTTGCAGGAGGAATGGTCATGTTCAGTCGGTAGTACCCACAGTATTCCTGGACGGATTCATGCTGAGGAGGTGGAGTTGCAGTGGTAAAACTACTCCCGGTAGTGCTGTCGTCAGGATACGCAGCTTCGTAGTGAATGAAGCTGCGCACATGATTCCACTTACTGGCATCACTGTCAAGAAGCCGGACAACCTGACTGAAAAGCGTGCGAGCCGCTGGAGAGTGTGGCACCAATCGTGCAAAGTCGCCATTGGACGCTCCGAGATGTACATTGTCCCATGATTGCACATCTGGCTCGGTGTCGCCATCAGTTTCATCGCCATATGGGTCCATGAAGTTGAGATATTAGACAAGTGGTCTCGTTGTAGGGTGCAGGATAGGTTGAAGATACAAGGTGGGATGATGCGGGCGCAGGTTTCCCATTGAGACTAGCGCTGCCAAGGGAAGGACTTCACGGCCATCTGGGCACCGCGTCCTCCATCACACATTTACGCATGATATCATCAAAACATGACATGGCATCGCCGCCGCGCTCACCGACTATACCGGACCACGTACTGAGAATCTATGAAGAACAGTACATTACTGAACCTCTCCTCGCTGCACTATTGAGGCTGCAGAATCAGCGGGAAGCGACTGACAACACGGAAGCGCCTTTCAAACAAGTGCCATGCAACGAAACCCCTAAACCGAGCTGGGGTCGACAATCTCCGCAACTCACACCAACTCCTTCACCCTCGCCATCGCTGAAGACATCGCATCGCCAACTGCAATCCTTTCTAACTCCACCCGACACGTCACCCTTGCGCAAGGATCCAGCTTCCGCATCACCTAACAAACCCGCCGCCGCACGTCGCAGACCTCGTCACCAGCAAGTTTCGCAAACCCCAAAGCAGCCCTTTCACACTATGCTTCTTCGCTCACGAGCCCGCATGGGTCGAGCCCAGGAGAGGCGCTTTTTCGAGTTGGATGCATCTGGTCGAAGGCTCAGGCGCATTGTTGAATGATGAGCGCGGAACAGACAAGCGACAAGATTGAACCATCCACACGTGTAAGCAGAACATATAGACAATATGTATAGAATGATCATACGCAACTAGGTACGCGTATTGCTGTATCTCTCCAGGATACCCGCTAATGATGCATAGTAGCAGTTATCGACGACCTAGACACCCGTCCCGCCTCCGCACCGAGACGATCTCGAACAGTTATGTTTTGAGAAGGAATGCCAAAGGCTGGGTGTACCACAGGCCTATGCTGAGCGGGTGCTAGTGTGCTTGGTAATGAGGACGTCCACCTTGCGGGCAGTACGATATGGGCAGTGCAAGGCAGAAAAGAGGACATGATATGGTGCGACGGTACTTAGAAGGGTAAATAGTTAGTTACTGTAGACAAAGTCGACAGATAGGATTGTGAAAGAGAATGCCGGCTTTGACCGGACTGCCAGGATATTAATGGAACATGACATTGGAACATGGTGTAAAGTGTTTAAGCTCTAGTTAACTAATCAACAAGGCAATTCACGTGTAATTATGTAACTAGTGAGACATACTTCTTTAAAATGCGCCATTACGAGCCGCCAGTCACCTGTGCGTAGTTTAGTCTTAACAGATCAATAGCTTTCACAGATGCTGTGCTACAACTCATGATGGACTCCTAGCTTCTCACCATAGGCGTACTATGCCAAACGGAACTAACTATGACTCCGACATGGTTAGAAGGATTGCGGCGTAGCTACATCCTTCGTGCTTGCTTACCGCCTGTATGCGCAATCAAAAGCGTAAGCATTCTGTAGTCGTGACACAGCAGCACGACGCTGCAAAAGGGTGGCGAAGGTGCAAGAGGGAAAACGTCGTCTTGCTACATAGGTGGAAGATAGGCAACATGGAGTACGTAACTACATAGCTTGCTGTGCTTTATCCACTGAGTGTCTTGATAGCCGCTTCCTTGTTCTGCGACGAGCGAGGTAAGCCTCTCAGCGGATGCATGCCTTCAGCCATGGTGACGTACGCTATGAGATCCTTCGTGCATATCAGAACACCACACAGCGACCGGCTTAATCGAGTGTAACGTTAGAGTCTGGTGACTTGAAGTTAGTTTGGCTACGAGCTATGATGCATGAAGCTTTGTTGGCGAGCGGACTATTGGACCAATCCTTGTGCAACCCTTATCATGTATCCTGGCTGACTACTGCAGTGTAAAAAAAATCCAAATGGATATCATTGCTGAAGCGGTACTATTCGTTGCATTGGCTCTTGTTTAGATGACTGCGATACGTCAACTCCAGGATGCAATCCGCCAGCGGGGAACAACCATTGCAGACTTGGCACATGCGCGGGCCACGGGAGGGCCCTAGTCCTTTGATGCTCGTTCGTACAGCTATTTCCAGTATATGCATTATGTAGCCTAGCCTCGTCTGCGCTATGGCGTACATATACGGAAAACATTGTCACTTGATTTTGTGCATATGGCCACTTGGGAAGCGTAAACTGCTTATTGATAAGCAGTCGCGCCACTGCTGCACTGTTCGTATCGTGCGCTTAGCCGACGGATCCTTCAAAGCTCTTACAATCGCGATCTAGTCCTGTCGTGGTCAGCCTTGCTTGTGGACACCTAGTAGTGGGCTGGGTAAACTTGAGACGGCATCGTGGCGCTTCGGGCCTCTCCAAAGCATGAGGGTTCGCACATACCCAGCTAGTCTTTCATTGGAAGCTATTTGAGTGAGGTTCTCAACGCTATGTCTGCTAAATTGGAACACAAAAGTCTTGAAAAACAAAGACGCAGCAATAGGATCCAAATCCCGGCTTACTAATCGGCATTCGCGAAGGTCGTGCGGCTCCAGATAATCGAGCACTAGAAGCCAGATTTCGCGTGGTACCCTAAGTTTCTCGTCGACGGAAAATGTGAGAGCCATGTTGTTATCTGTGTACTAGATTTTTCCTAGCAAGGGAGCGAATGTAGAGGCACAGGTGCGACGAAAGTTTGGGTGGAGCGAGCCTAGAAGAATGAGCACATTCCAGCATGATGCAAGCTAGCAAATCAAATAGTTCAGAAATAGAGTAAAGGCTAAGTAGATTTAACTAGCAATGTAGCTCTAAGATAATTGGCGAGACGTGAAGCAAACTATAGCGGCTGCTATTGAATGTATATGTATTAGCAATTCCCGCTCTTGCATTCATTTCGGTTCTCATCCTACGCTATATTTTGTCGCATTTAGCTCTTTATAGTTCTATCATCTCACCAGCCGCATAATAATCACTAGTAGCCTACCGTGATGACACCAGCCTTGTCTAGAACAAGCGTGATAACGGCGTGGGATTAAAGTCGTGTTCTGGGCGAAAAAGAGAAAACTGCGGATGGAAGCAGCTCTAGTAAGTGAATTAGGCTGCTTTGACTGGTCTAGCTTAGTAATTCTTCGGCTGCTGCGAGCTGAGAAGTACAGGCATAGCTCAATTGTTGTGGTTTTGCTTATGCTTATGGGCTCGCGGTGTCAGCATAAAACTACGTTTGTCAGTCCCATGCAACTAAACAAATGACTGCTTTTTACCCCGTATAACGTTAGACCAGATACATAGCAAAGCGATCAAACATACATACAGCCGTTAGCGATTGCGGCTTCACCCTTACGCTCAGCTGCGCAACGGATTTGAGTAGCCCCACCTTCCTTATGTAGCTTAGTAGAAGAAGTCAGCAGCAGAACCATCGGTGTGATTGGTCAATCCTCGATCTTCTGATGACTGGACTTTTGGAACGCTGCCTACAAGGGTGAAGCCGCAATCGCTAGCGACTGTAGTAAAAATGGTACAGTCGTTAAAGCGAGTGTATTATTTAAGAAACCAGAGCAGAGCCACAACCCAGAGAGAAGCGAGTGTATAGTAGAGAGACAAGCGAGTGTAGCAATTTGTGATAGACTGTATATGCCCAGGAGTTTGCGATCCGGACGCGTGGGAGAGATGGCAATCTCGACCCCTGAACGCGACCGCGACCGCGAAGCGACATCCCTGCCAACCGAGCTACCAGCACCACTGAAGAGACGCGCAAGGAACACTACCGAGCAAAACGAACACTACCACAGGCGACCATTACAGCTAGACCTATCAGCCGACGACTCCGACACCATCCAGATCGACAGCAGCCAACCCATCCGTCAAGCTAGGAAGAGCACCGCCACCAACAAAGACCTACTTACCGCGTTAACCAAGATCATCCAGCAGCAGAATGAAACGATCCAGAACCTCGAACGCGAGACTAGAGAGATTAGAAAGAACCAGCAAGCGATTATCGACCACAACGTGAAACTTATTGATGAGATTGCTGAGCTAAAGACACGCGTCGATGACCTCGTGGCAGCAACCTCTGGTACGCGTACCTGGGCTGAGGTAGCGTCCACAAGCGCACCCGCAGGACTAAACGCCACAGCCGTGCCGCTAGCAAGCCAGCAGCACACTACCAGAACCAACCTCGCTTCTATCGACGTGCCCAGCGTCACTGTAGACATCTCTAGGGCAGATAGCGAAAATGGCAGATTATCGGCAGGATCGGTCAGAGCAGCCGTTGAAAAAGAGATGCGCACAATGGAGAACCGAGAAAACTGGCGATGCCGAGCGGTCACCGTCGACCATGCGACCCAGAGCCGGATCAGGATCGCGTGCAGAGACGAAGACGAGCACCAGTTAGTGAAGAAAGCAGCAGAGAAGATTGGCGCAGGCTCGCGCGTGCTGCGCGATGAGCTCTACCCAGTCAAGATCGACAACGTCAAGAGGACTGCAGTGTTGGACGAGAAAGATGAGCTTAGAGCGGGAGCAGCAGAAGCTTTTGGAGAAGAGAATGGAACGACAGTCGCCAAGATTGCGTGGCTTAGTAAGAGAGACGTCCCCAAAGCGTACGGATCTATGGTGGTGTACGTGACTAAGAAAAGTGACGCGAGGAGACTCATCTCAGAAGGCTTCTTCCACGCGGGCGGAGAATCCGGCACAACAAGCGTATTTGAGCAGCGACCACGGCCAGGACAGTGCTATAACTGCCAGGAGCTCGGCCACAAAGCGTATCAGTGCCGAAAGGCGCAGAGATGCGGGAGATGCGCCAAAGAAGGCCACCACCACAAGAGCTGCAGCGAAGTAGTGATGAAGTGCGTGCTCTGCGGAGGACCGCACGAATCGTTCAGCAGAAACTGTCGGATGCTATACCCACCTCAACATGAATAGAGCATTCCGCATAATCCAGCTTAATGTTAGAAAGCAAGGCGAAGTACATGATAGCTTGATGAACGATGAAGAGTTGCAAGACGTGGCGGTGGTAGCTATCCAGGAGCCGCATGCACGGAGGATCCAGGGTCGGCTGCTGACGACGCCCATGCTCCACCACAAGTGGACTAAGATGGTACCATCGACGTGGCGAGAAGGAAGGTGGTCAATACGGAGCATGCTGTGGGTGAACAGAGAGGTAGAGGCAGAACAGGTACGAGTAGAGTCGCCGGACTTGACAGCAGCGATCATCCGGCTACACGAGCGTCGGGTTTTAGTGGTGTCGGTGTATATACCAGGAGGAGACCCGCAGGCGTTGCGAGACGCATGCAAAAAGATAGACAGAGTGATTGCGGAGGCAAGACGAAGGGCCGGCACAGTAGTAGACGTGGTGCTGGCTGGAGACTTCAATCAGCACGACCAGCTGTGGGGAGGAGAGGATGTGACGCTGGTCAGACAGGGCGAGGCAGACCCGATTATCGATCTGATGACGGAACACGCGCTCAGCAGCCTGCTCCCGCGCGGCACCAAGACATGGCAGTGCGGAGAGTACGAGACGACAATTGACTTAGTGCTAGCGTCAAAAGAGCTGGCAGACACGGTGCTAAGATGCGCTGCCCACGACACCGAGCATGGCTCCGACCACCGAATGATCGAAACAGTCTTTGACAGCTCCGTGCCAGTGGCGCGACAGCAAGAGCGGCTTCTGCTCAAGAACGCACCGTGGAAAGTAATCAACGACAGGATCGCCAGAGCGCTCCGCGTGACCCCACCAGCGGGCACGACGCAGCAGAGGACCGACAGACTGATGGCGGTGGTGCTGGAGGCGGTGCACGCACTGACACCTAGGGCTAAGGCGTCACCATATGCAAAGAGGTGGTGGACGCAGGACCTGACACAGCTACGCCGCATCTACACGCACTGGAGGAACCAAGCGAGAGCCGCGAGACGAACAGGGGTTGCTCGGCCGGACCTAGAAGAGATGGCAAAAGGAGCGTCGAAGCAGTACCATGATGCCATTCGACAGCAGAAGAGAAAGCACTGGGATGACTTCCTGGCGGACAACGACAACATCTGGAACGCGACCAAGTATCTGAAGGCGGGCAACGAGGCGTTCGGGACAGTCCCAGCACTTCGCAGAACGGACGGGTCAACTACGAGCGACTTTGAAGAACAAGCGGAGGAGTTGCTCAACACCTTTTTCCCTCCGCTTCCTAGCAGCATCGACGACGAGGGAGACAGGCCGCAGAGAGCACCCGTAGAAATGCCGGCCATCACACTCGAGGAGGTGGAAAGACAGCTGCACGCCGCCAAGTCATGGAAAGCACCTGGAGACGACGGACTGCCTGTCGTAGTGTGGAAGCAGGTCTGGCCGGTAGTGAAAGACCATGTGCTTGCGCTATTCCGACAGTCGCTAGAGGAGGGAGTGTTGCCTAGCCAATGGAGACATGCCAAGATCATACCGCTCAAGAAGCCAGGCAAGGAAGACTACACTATCGCAAAGGCGTGGAGGCCGATCTCACTGTTGGCCACGCTAGGCAAAGTATTAGAGTCGGTGGTGGCAGAGAGGATCTCGCACATGGTAGAGACACACGGGCTTCTGCCGACTAACCACTTTGGAGCGCGCAAGCAGCGATCAGCCGAGCAAGCACTAGTGCTGCTCCAAGAGCAGATTTACACTGCGTGGCGGGGTCGGCGGACAGTCAGTCTGATCAGCTT